AGAGAGAGAGAAAGAGAGAGAGAGAGAGATGCAGGTTACGTTACAAACCATCCAATTCATGAAAACTATGCAAACCATTTTCGACCAATAGGAAAATTCCGTTTTTTTTCTTTAATTTTAATAAGTAAGGGTATAATGGTCATTTGATTATATATTGATTAGTATTGGAAAGTAATAATTACTCTTAATTATGAAAACGTAATAATAGAAACATTYAATATAGAAGGTGGTAAATCAATTTTTCTTAATATAATTTTTTTGTCATTAATAGTTTTTATTATTTTATTAAATTATATTTATTAAAATATGAATTGTAAAAGCACTACAATATGAAATCTGATTYCGTTTCATTGAAAAAATATATGTAGTTTRAGTAATGAAACGAATGTCATGGTCAATAGTGAYCATGAACACAATTTCACTGATAAATATAATTTATTAATATTTCAAAACWTTTTATGCATGAAAAAGTTTCAYTTAAGAAAATAAAGTATTCAGTTTTCAAAATGTTTCATTTAATTTTCAAAAATGTTTCATTTTTTATATGTTTCATCGTTTATTAKAATAYCCCTTGTTTATAATTAGTTTGATTAGAAATTATTAAGAGTCCAATCTTACTTCAATAAYCGTTAATKAAATAGTTTCATATATCGTAACCGTTAATGAAATAGTTTCATAACCGTGAGTTCATAACATAAACGGTGAAACAGTTTAATTCATTCATTTAAGGAAACAAAATATTTCCTTTAGTATTCAAAATGTTTCATTATTTTTTGTTGATTAAAGTATGTTTTTACGTTTCATAATTTATTAGGATATACTTACTTTCATTGCTTCTTACTTGGATCCATTTTTAATGTGAATGTTATTTTATTTATAATATTTAGTCATAAAATGAAGATRAATTTTATCAAACATATAATTTGTCAGATTATTCTAACATTTTTTGTTAAAATCTTAAGAGTTAATTAYGTTTTTCATTTTTTGAATCTCATCTCTATTTTGAAAAATTAACAGACGGGTCCCATTTTTGCATTTTTCACAAGGAACCCTGCTCGTTAAAGA